ATCTGCAGAGGGCAAAAAACGGGCCCACCATGCCATCACATGCCAAAAGCGGGGGGAGTGGGGGGGTTGTGCACGCATGCATAGGAGGGCAGGGCGCATAGAATTATGGGTGTGGGCACGCACGTGCGCAACCCTCCCCTGCACTTCCCCTGCTTTTGGCACATGATGGCAAAAAGATTAGCCATCACTGTCCTAGGCCCTTTCTGATACTCCAATTCCATCCAGACTGGACTATGGTCTGTCAATGTTCTTGAGCAGATCTTCGTGTTCTTCACCCTGGATAATAAATCATTAGTAATTAATATAAAATCAATCCTTGAAAAAGATTGATGTCTATCTGAGAAAAAAGTAAAGTCTTTTTCTTCTGGGTTTCTTTCACGCCAAATATCCCTCAACTCCCAGTCGTCCATCATCTCCCAGAACGGTTTGGGCAATTTTGCGCTTGTTAAAACATTTTGTTTAGGTCCCTTCTTGTCTTTTATTACATCCAAAACACCATTCCAATCCCCCAGTAGGATACAAGTTTTATATCTCCATTGTGTCAACTTTGAGTGTAGTAAATTATAAAAATTTTCTTCTTGTTGATTCGGGGCATATACTCCAATTACAAGTGTTTTTTCTCCTTTTATTAAAAGTTCAATCGCTAAATATCTTCCTTGCTCGTCCACTTCAACTAATTTTGCAATTAAGTCTCTTTTCACATATATAACTATACCATTTTTCTTCTCTGATGCTGCTGCAACATAGTGTGTACCTAATCTTGCATTTATCAAATATTTTTGGTCTTGTATCCTAATATGACTCTCTTGTAAACAAATTACTTCATTCTTAAATTGTTTAAGATAGTGAAATATTTTCCTTCTCTTCTGCAGAGAATTCAAACCATTGACATTCCAGGTCAAAAATCTAGTTCCCATCTCTGGGCCTCTGAAGTGTCTGGAGCAATTTCTGATGATCTTGCCTCATTTGACCTTTAGGTCTTGCTCCTCCCACTTGCTTCTATTTTGGTAGTTTCTTGGGTTGCTATCTGTTGTTGTTGTTGTTGTTGTTGTTGTTGTTGCTGTCTTAGTTCTTCCTTATGCTTAGCTATTGCTGCTCTGGTCTGTCTTTGATCCTTCGGTTCTGCAAATATATCAATTAAATCCACATCTTGAACAGCCATCTGAATTTGTAGTGGTTCTTCTTGACCAGTTAAAACTCCCCCCTGAACTACTGTCAATAACTCTTCTCTCTCTCCTTGCATTACTTCCTTCTTTCTTTTTCCTTCTGGTGATTTGGGTGATTTGGGTGTCCCAGCCTTTAATACATTGATGTAAAAATCTCTTGCTTTCCATATTGTATTAAGCCGATATCTCTCTCCAGAATATGTCACCACTAAACCGGTTGGGACCTCCCATCTATACTGTAATTGACATTTTTCAGCTCATCCACCAGAAAAGCATACTCCCTTCTAGCTCTCAGCATCTTGGGGGGGATTTCTTTCATTGTCATCACCTCCTGGCCTTCAACCTGAAGCTTGTTTTTAAAAGTAGCCTGTAAAATTTCATTGCATACTCCCCTTGTAGTAAAATATATTACAATATCTCTTGTAAGTGTTTCTGTCTGGCCACCCAAGAATTAACACGATATGCCTTGTCAATCTGCCAGCCCAGCTCAGTTTTTGTCTCCCCCAGCAACTGTGCCAATGCCTCTGACATCATTTCTTTCAAGTTCTCTTGTTTATTCTCCTTCACACCTCTGAATCTTAAAGCAAATTCCATATCTCTATATTGTAACATGGTTACATCAACTTCAGCTCTCTCAAGTCTACTGTGAGTCTCTTCCAATTTATTGTCCAAAATTTCCGTAGATTTCTTAATTTCTTCAACTTTATCATCCACCATTTCAATATCACCTGCCAAACAATTAAATGCCAACAATATATCATCTCTGATTTGCTGATTCTGAATTAAAATCTCATCTGAAACAGCCTGTATTTTTTTATTAGTTTCATTAATTTTTTCATTAGTTTCATTAATTTTTTCATTAATCACAGTAGCAATTTTATTTTGTGTGGCTTGTAGGGCTTTTTGTATCATCTCAAACGTTAAAGTCTGCGGGTCTGTTAGAGGAGCAGAGGCTTGCAATCTAGTGGCAAAGACATTTAACTTGTCGATCAGAAAGGTTGGCAGTTTGGTGGTTCGAATCCCTAATACAGGTCTCCTGCATGAGCAGGGGGTTGGACTAGATGACCTCCAAGGTCCCTTCCAACTCTGTTACTGTTACTGTTTGCCTCCCAGTTCCAGCCCTCCAGGTGCAGGGCAAGATGGCCTTGATTCTCTGAGAAAAGAATGTTATTATGACTATATATCACCCATGCTCCATACAATTCTCCCTCCCAGTTTCCCACAGTAGAAAATGTGGCAGGCCTGAAGGCCTGAAGGCCCAATGCAAAAGTTGGCTTCCAGGCCTGACAATATTTATTCATGCAAGTTTATTCTCAAAGACTTTAAATTTGATATGTGGAGCTAGAAATCCTAAAGAATTTCCTTCTAAGAAACTACAGACAACAAGAACTATAGATACTGTTGATATACACATTTATAACAGAAGAAAAAACATTTTTTATGTCTTTTCTGAATAGACACAGCCCTCTTCTCTTTGCAATCCCAGTTGCAATTCAGGCTATAGTAAGGTCAAGCAAGAAGGAAAGCCATTTTGCTGTTATCATTGTATACCTTGTCCCGAAGGAAAGATTTCGAACCACAAGGGTAAGCAATATCATGGACAGAAATGATTCCCAGTCAGTGGTGGTATTCAGCAGGTTTTATCCGGTTCGGGCGAACTGGTAGTGGTGGCTGCAGGAGGCTCCACCCCCCCCCAGATGTCCTCATATCCCATTTTTGACGCTCTGCACATGCTCACTCACATTTGTGAACCAGTAGTGAAGGTAAGTGAATACTAGCCCTGCTCCCAATCTGTGCTCCAGGCAAAAATCAATTTGGACTCTGAATTTATCTTCAAATATCTCATGAGAGGAAGTCAATGGTGATTCTCCATCATCCAAGTTATGCTTGTCCCAGAGGTGCTTTTCAAAAGACACCTGGTCCTCTCACCAAGAAAGTCCAGTTGCTTTTTGAAAAGCACTGTGGGTCACGAGAAGAAGCTTTTATAGATAAGTGACTAAAATGGAAAAGAAAAAGGGAAGAAAGTTGCTAGATTAGACCTTGGATCATTTCCTAAACCAAGTAAGGTCATGTGATCTTCTTTTACTTATTTAAAATGGACATTCATTTAGTCTGACTGTGGAAGTTCATAAATGATATGAAACAAAAAGACAAACAAATAAATGTACAAATAAATTGTTCAGAAGAGAAGAAGGAGGATCCATTTCTTTATTTGGCCCCATTTTTAAGTGGAGTGGTATTATTCAAGATTTTGTAAAATCTGAATTTGATTGGTTTAATACAATATTCTAGTTCTGGGTTTTTTTTTTTCCAGACATGGATAACTGCTTTCACTGTCCACAAGATCATTATCCCAACGAGGAACAAAATTTATGCATTCTAAAATATGTAACATTTTTGTCCTAATGAAGAAACTTTGGGGATCACCTTCACCAGTTTGATTATTATTTTTTCTATCATTACTATTTTGCTGCTCTGGCTCTTCATTAAACACAATGACACCCCTATTGTGAAAGCCAACAATGAAACACTCACATACATTCTTCTCATCTCCCTCCTGCTCTCATTTCTCTGTGCGTTGCTATTTATTGGTCAGCCTCATCAATGGACATGCCTTCTTCGGCAAGTTACCTTTGGCATCATCTTCTCCGTGGCAGTTTCTAGCATTTTGGCCAAGACTATCATTGTAATTCTTGCTTTCATGGCTACCAAGCCAGGGTCCAGAATTAGAAAATGGATGGGGAAGAGACTGGGTCTTTCTATTGTCCTTTCTTGCTCTTTTATTCAAACTATTATTTGTACAGTATGGCTATCAACCTCTCCCCCATTCATAGATGTTGACATGTATTCCATGCCAAAGGAAATTGTCTTGATGTGTAATGAAGGGTCAACTGTCATGTTCTACTGTGTCCTTGGTTTTATGGGTTTCCTGGCAACTATCAGCTTCGTAGTGGCTTTCCTGGTCCGGAAGTTACCTGACACCTTTAATGAAGCCAAATTCATCACTTTCAGCATGCTGATATTTAGCAGTGTTTGGTTCACCTTTGTTTCCACATACTTGAGCACAAAGGGGAAATATACGGTGGCCATGGAGATTTTTTCTATTTTGTCCTCCAGTAGTGGACTACTGGCTTGTATTTTCTTCCCCAAATGTTATATTATGATAAGAAAACCAGAACTGAACAGTAAGGTACAACTAAGAAGAATAACAATGGAGCAACTGAAAATTTTCTGATTTTGTGATGAACAAACAGCGTGTAATAAAGGGATACAATTTGCAAATAACTTTGTCATTGTTAATGTGGATTTTTTTTTAAAAAAATGATGTTTTTAACATATGTAGTAAAAGCTAATTTATTTATTTAGAAATTTTATATGGCCGCCACTCACTCTCCATGAATCTGGAAGGCTTACAAAAAAATAAAAACTTAATATACAACGTATCTATGGAGATTCTCAGTTATCCTGGTCATAGTTGTCCCAAAAGTGTTTTTTTTTTTCCCAAGAGGCAACTGGACTTTCTGGTTTTTCTTAGAAGACATTTTGCTTCTCATCCAAGAAGGTTCTTCTTCAAATCACTGTTTGAAAGAGGGGTTAAAGAGGCCATCTATGTCAAAATTGAACTGCCCTCTCTCAACACAGGAGGTGGGATACGATATCATCTATCTTCAATCTACAACACAGTCCTTTAAACAGTTCCAAGAAGGCTCCACACAATTTGCACCACTCAGGTGATCCTGATCACATAGATAAACCTCCTGGTGGCCTTAACAACCTGCTAAAAGAATACAAATGTCTAACTGTCTGAAAGTATACTACAATGCAGTCTACGCCATGGCATATGCTTTGCATAACATGCTTTCATTTCAATCAAAAAAGAAAAAGAGTGTCCGTGAAGCAACCCAAAGCCTACTGGCTCAACACCTGTGGAAGGTAATGTCCTGAACAAACAGATTTCAACTAGGTTAATGTGGTTCCTGGAAGAGATTCTAGACCAGGGGTATCAAACATGATTTCATTGAGGGCTGCATCAGGGTTGCATTTGATCTTGGGGGGCCAGGGTGGGCATGGCCAGAATGAGTTTGGTCAGCTCAACGTCATTCGTGTCGGGGCACCTGTGTTAGCCTGAGAGCTCTGCCAGTGAAAATCCATTTCACAGCTCCATTTTCAGCTGTGATGATGATCCCGCAACCCTTTGCCAGTGAAAACAGAGCTCAGAACTGCTAGAGGCACCGTGGTCCAGTCTTTTGCTGTTTTGAGGGCAGCTTCCCAGGCCTGATCTAAGCAACCCCTAGGTCGGATCCGGTCCGGGGTCCTTGAGTTTGACACCCCAGATCTAGACTAACTAGAAAAGTCTTATACTGCCATATATCTTAAGACCATTTTGTAAAATGCCTCACACGGTTTGATGTTTCAAAAATAGAAGGGCTGAGTTGGAATGGGAAGCTGGTTCACAAATGTGGCTGACATCTTCAGAAGCAAGGTGGCCTGCCTCATAACAGTTGACATTAAAACAATCTGTTTTCTATATCATGGCACTAATTTTATTATTTATTGATATTATTTAATTTATATGTCCCATGTCACTACCTCAGGGTGTCGGTGGCTTGAAGTAGTATAAAAGCGTAAATATATAAACATTAATCGCATTAACATTAAGACAAACAACAAATAAAAGGTGAAAATCAAGAGCACAGATGGTACGGAAATGGACTTTTGTCTCTCATTCAATCTATCTCCTTCAGCATAGCACACCCCCATAAGGTTCTCAAGCCAACTGCCAGAGCCAGTTTTTAAGCTCTTCTGGAAGGCCAGAAGGGTGGAGGCAGATCTAACTTTGGGAGGCATGATGTTCCAAAGGACAGGGCCATGTTAGAGAAGACTCTTTTCTTTGACCCCACTAGCTAAAGTTCCTTAACTGACAGGATCCAGAGAAAAAGTCTTCTGCTGGCATGAATGGAATGGGCAATCCCATTGGAGCAAGATGGTACCTCATGCAATCTGGTCTCATATCATGAAGGGCTTTAAAGATGATAAATCAACACCTTGAATTGGACCTGGAAGCCAACCAACAACCAATGCAGCTTACCTAACAGCATGTTGCTACCCTAGAGGCTCCAGCTTCTGAATACTCTTCACAGATAGTCCCATTGTAGTAATCCAATTGGAAGATTACTAGAACATGATTTACTGAACACAGGGCCTCACAGTACAAGAAATGATGCAACTGGTACACAACATGAAGTTCTAGCCATAACCACCACCTACTCTTTTGAGCAGGAGTTATGTATCTAAGAGAATCCCCAGGTTACACAAAAGATCTGTCTGTGGTAATGTGACTCCCTAACCCTATCCCCAAAGCCTCTAGGCACTGTGAAAGGGCAACCACAACAATACTTAGATAACCCAGAATGTAGATGGAAAGTTGAGTATCATCAGCATACTGCTAGTACCTCATTCTTGGTGTCATATAATCTCATTCAATGGCTTTATGTAAATGTTAAAAAGCAGTGGAGGGTTAGGGTTAGGTTCTGCAGCAGAAATGTGGAGTGGCCACAGACTGGACTTCTTGCTCCCTATCAACACCAATTGGGGCCAGCCTTGGAGGAAGGAGTTTATCCAGCACAAAACTTCTTCCTAGAACCCAATTTCCTCAGCCATCTGAAAAGGATACCATAGTTAGTGGTATTAAAAGCCATCAAGGAGTCAAGGAGGACAATGATAGATGCATTACACTCATCCTGGTCTTGCCACAAATCATCTATAAACATGACAAATGCTGTTTCTGTTCCATAATGACCTGGAACCTGACTTAAATGGTTTTAGTTATTCAATTTCTAAAAAGGGAAGATAAGAGATTGAATGAAAATTGTCCAGATGGTGTGCATGGGTGATATATTATTTATTTATATCATTTATAGGCTGTCCATCTTACCTCAAAGTAACTATCATCTTAAGGAGGGAGTAGCTCAAAGCCTCCTTAATTAATGCCAGGAACACTCCTTACTGTAATGAAGTTATTATTAGGACCCACCTGTAAGTTACCAATTCTGGAACTTTTCATTGGGCAACAAGGACATGAATCTAATAAAGCAGTACTTTTTTTTTTTTTTTTTTTTTTTAATTTGATTTATATGCCGCCCTTCTCCGAAGACTCAGGGCGGCTTACAATGTGCTCAGCAATAGCCTTCATCCTTTTGTATATTTATACAAAGTCAGCTTATTGCCCCCACAAACTGGGTCCTCATTTCACCTACCTTAGAAAGGATGGAAGGCTGAGTCAACCTTGAGCCTTGGCGAGATTCGAACCCTGCAGTAATTGCAGGCAGCTGGTCTTAAGCAGCTTAATAACAGGGTGCCTTAAACCCTAGTACTACCAAGGCTCTTCTTGTGCTAATAGTTTCGAGGTCCCAGGCTACTCCTTCACGGGCAACAAGTGCCCAGATAACCAAGTAAGTACAAACTCCAGGGAACTCTAATGGACCTGCTCCACACTTCATTTCCAATTGTGAATAGATCCAAGCAATTTTATCCTTCAGTTATGCTACAAATTCCTCCACACCAGCTTTAAGATGTCATTTGAGCCATTTTTCCTTAAATATCAGTAGGTGATACTAAACAGGGACACAGAGTGATCATATAGATGCAATAAGCACATAAAAATAATGGTATTTCACTGCTTTTACTGCCATAAGGTAGGGTTTTAATAGTGGCTCTAACCTGTGAGTGGTTGGATTCATCCCTTGTTTTCCTTCAATGGAACTCCAGTCATCTCTTGGTCCTTTTCAACATCTGCAATTCCTCCAGAGCCTCCAGAGGACCTACTGACAGATCTCCCATCATATCATGTTGCCACAGCTCCAACAACAAGATCATATCCAGAGTGTGACCACTGTCCTGAGTCTCGCTATGAAGCTGAGATAGGTTCATTGCTGCCATGGTGACCATAAACTCCCAAGTATCTTCCAATGTCATCCCAAGGCCAAAAGGCTGGGGAACCCCACCACCCACCGCTTTCCAGCAGCTATGGCAGAGAGGTTGCTAGCTATGCAGCAGTGAGGTTGGTACAATAACAACCATCCCAACTGATCCTATGAGCCCAGCTTGAGGAACAGGTTCTCACATCTGGAAACTCTGAAAGCAGAAGATATTTCCAGATGTGACAACTGCTACACCCCCTCCTGCCCTGGGTACTTTGCCAGTGCCAAACCATAAAGCATGAAGCCCAACATCGCCCAACAGATACCAGCCATGAAAGCTAACATTGCTTCAAAGACTGTTGTGTGAACCCTATTCTCACAGTGTGTAACATGCTTTTCTTAATTAGGATGCATTTCTACTTAACTCGTCCACAGTAGTTCTATACAAATTGAAATTGTGATTCCAAGCAGCTCCAGTTTTTCATGGAAAAATCTGCCCGATCAGCCATAGAAAAACATTCAGGCAGCTTCAACATTGATGCAGCATTGTATCCAATATTGAACCCCTGATAGGCTATTTGCCTGAGAGTTCATATGAATTGACACTTAACCATACAAGCACAATTCACAACCAATTATTGATATGCATGAGTTTGCATACCAACATGTATCAAGCAATCAAAAACTTGAGGCCTCCTCAAAAGATGCATTTATTCATTCCAATTTCTCCTTTTTCTCCAGGACATTATTCTAATCCCTGTTTTCTGCCTATTTGTTCCACATGAAACAAACTTAAATGGAAAAGAGCAATGTCATTAAATATATCCTGATATTTCATCTTCTCTCTTCAGCTCAACCGTTTTGTGGAAATCATTTCATTTAACAACAGTGTTGGGGAAATAGTTTTCTTCAATCAAAATGGAGAAATGGAAACTGGATTTGATATTATCAACTGGGTAACCTTCCCAAACCTTTCCTTCCTAAGAATCAAAGTTGGAGACGTACAACCCTTGTCTCTCACAGAGAAAACATTTACTATTTCAAAGGAATCCATAATCTGGCCAAAGTGGTTTAAACAGGTAGGTTCTGTAACTCTTTGAGTTCTTCTTGAGAATTTTTTCTTTTTTGTAAGCAAATTTTATTAGAAATTTTCTTTCATCATATGTATTTTATGAACAGAGTGTTGACCGGGTCACATCATACATCTTATACATAATAATCTTTATAATCTATTCTAAACTTACCATTTTTCCATATTATCTCTTTTATATAATACTTTATCACAAATTAATCATTTTTCACCATATCTTATTATTTCAACATCTGCCATGTTGTTCTCTTTTCAAATCCATTTTACATCATATCTCTGTTTCCAGTTTCAGCCGTAATATTCTCTTTCCATATTTCTTTATCTTATCTTATTTTCTTCTTTGTACATATAATGTACAACAATATGTACAACCCTTAATTCTTAATTCCTAATCTCTTACAATAACATCAATTAATTATCTTATTTCTCCATTGCTAAATATATTTCTCAAATTCCCCATCCCACTTTTTTAACATTTCAACTTCGTCTCTTAATTTAAATTGTCTTCAAAATTAAACCAAATTGCCATTTCACATTTCATCTGCTATTCTGTTTTACTATGAGCAATATACATCATCATATTCAAATCTTACATAAAAACCCTTTAACTTGGTTGACCATCCACAATTAATAATATTAATACAGTTCCCTTAAATCTACTAATATATACCTCATTTTCCTTCCTCTTTTCCACTAATCTTCCCCTCTTTAACCATTTTCCCTTGGTCTCTCCAAAACTCCAATTCTTGGTAATTTCCTCCTTTTATCCCATTCCCTTAATTTCTTTTTCTTTTCTTTTTTCTTTTTATATGTATTGTATCTTTTCTTCTGAATCCTTTTTCTCACTTTTAAATATATTATTCAAGTAGTTCTTCCCAAGCTTTCTCCTATTCTCTTCCCACTATTTTCCTCTTTACCCTTTGATTGATTCTTTTTGGGGGACATTCCTCCCTGTCCACTCTTTTTGCACCATTGTAAATCCCAGTGAAATTATCTAACTGCTTTTTGTTTTCAATTCCTTTTCCTTCAGTATTATTTTCTTGCTTTTCATTTATGCTCTTTTCTACCACCTTCTCTCCTATTTTCTGCCCTGTGTATTCCAGCAACATTTCTGACTTTTAAAGATTCACACATATTTTAAAACATCTCAATTAATTCTTCATACATCCAAGACTCCATATTGCCAATTTAACAAATTGTTAAAACTTTTAAATTATATCACATTTAATTAGAACTTAAAATCAATATACAGGTAGTCTCTTTTTATTTTCAATTTCTAATGTCCAATTCAAATATTTGTCCAGTCCAATCCAAGTTGAAAATTTATTATCTTCCACAGCCATAGAAAATCAAAACCAAGCAATGTAGAAAGACAAACTCTCCTTAAAATTTCAAACAGTTTCCAAATTATCTTTTCTAGTAGTCAAGGTCACAGCTGTACTTTCTCTTCTATCTTCCACCAAGTATTGCAGTACTCTCTTTCCACCAGCAAATGTCTCTCTTAAATTCACAATACTCTTAAGCCAATTAATTATCAAAACTGTCAAAAATACTTTAAATCCACATAAAAAATACTTTTTCTCAGGTTCTTTTCTTTTATTATTTTTAGTTTCTCCAAATCCAATTGTAAATACAAGAACTTTCTTGGGCTTTGATGTTTTAGCCTCCGCTTTGTCCTTCTCCCTCCATGGAATTTCCCAAATGCCAATTAGCCACTCATTTCAGCTCTGGGACACCTTTTAATGTCCAAATTCAAAATTTTCTTTTACCTGTGAGTTGGCCAATCACTCACCTGGTTCCAGCACTCCATTCAAACACTGCTCCTGTACAAAAGCTTAGTCGAGTTGCCCCAGCTTCAGAGCGGTAATTTTGCAATGGCTGCCACCATTGCCGCTGGTCCAAAGAACTGTCTCTGACCTATTGAGGAACTTGCCTGTTCCTTTTGGTCATCCAAGATGTCTCTCCTTCTTCGCTGTCCCTACAGGACAGTTCCGGTCCGAAGACCCCCTGACAGCGGTTTGTCCAGCTGGATTTTCACGGAGCTCATCAGAGCCCGGTCTCACCATGACACCTCTGGTCTCTTCAGTTTTTTTCGCGCGTTTCACAAGGTGGGGGGGGAAAAGAGTTTTTTGAAGTAACTCTTCTTTAAATATCTCAGAAAGTTGTCTGAAAATACAGAGAAAATGTAGAAAGAAACATCAAATCAAGAGACATAGGAGAAAGTATTCAACAAAATATGAAATATTCAAGTATTTCCTTTTACACAAAGTATTGATATGCAGGAATCATATATTTCAGGATCAGCATGTCACCTCTCCTGGCTTAATATGTCCATGCAGGAATGTCACATATATTAGATTGCATTCATTTATACCACAGTTTCTATCCAAAATCATGATTTAGATATAGTTGGAAGCTATATTCATTATCTACAATTGAAGAATTTCTAACTGCAAATTTGTGAGAGGAAGATCAATAATAAACAAGGTATCACCAAGGAATGCTAAGAAATTCAAAGTATGACATTTAAATGGCATTCAAATAGTGCTGACATATGCCAGATTACTTTTTTTTTCTCTATCACTCTCTATATGAACTTTTGGATGCACTGAAACAATTGATAAATGGTTTTCCCTAAAAGGTTCTGCATTATAAATGATCATATATGAATTCCTTCTGAATGATTCATCTATGAAAGCACTTACCGCTATGATTATTTGTATATATGCACATTTGCAATATGGAAAGTATTCTTCTCTTTCTTTTATATTTAGATGCAGCCTTTTTCTCTCTGCAATGATCATTGTCATCCAGGTTACAGGAAGGCCAAAAAGGAAGGGAAACCATTTTGCTGCTATGACTGCCTTCCTTGTCCAGGAGGGAAGATTTCTAATCAGAAAGGTAAGTGATAATTTCTAGCGGAATATTTGTTCACTTTTTGTCTGTGATAATAACTGACCATCTGCTGAGGTACTCAGATTGATTGATTGATTGATTGATTGATTCAATTTCTATAGTTACCCAACTCAACCAAGCGAGTCTAGGAGGCTTACAATTCTAAACTTTAAACAATTTAGAAAACATTAAAATAATAAAAGCACCCACAAAATAAATAGTACAAATGGCACCAATGATGATTAATCAACTAATAGTAAACCTAAGTAACAGGGCCCTTAACAAATTCCATATACAGTATAGTCAAGTGTTTAAAACTTTTAAGAAGCCAACAGAGTAACATTCTAATCTGAATATTCCATAAGGCAGGGGATGCAGGAGAAAATCTATTATCTGCCAGCTGACACTCTTTGGCTGGTGGGATATGTAGCATGCTCAATCTGTTGGATCAAATTGAACAGGTAGAAACCCTTGAAAAATGACAGTTCCTTGGGTAAACCTATCCCAAGCCATGTAGGACTTTAAAGATGACAACCAGAACCTTAAATTGCACTGGCAATCAGTGCAACTCATCAAGCAGTGGTCTCACATGTGCCATGCAGCTGGTGTCATTAATTACAAATATAGCTGTATTTTGTACCAGTTGAACTTTACAAATGCTCTTCAAGGACAACCCCATGTAGAGCACATTACAGCAATCTAAGCAGGAGGTTACAAGGGTGTGGGTGATGGCAAGCAAGGCCTCTTGGTCAATGGTGAAAATTGGGTTGAGAAACATGATAGTCAGTGCAACTCATTGAATAGTGATCTCATGTGCTATCAGGCTCGTGCCATTAATTACACATGTGGCCAAATTTTGTATAAGTTGAAGTTTCTGAATTGTCTTGAAGGGCAGCCCCATGTAGAGGGCATTACAGCAATCTAAGCAGGAGGTTACAAGGGTGTGGGTAATGGCAAGCAAGACCAGGAATGGATGCAACTGATGCATCACTCGTAAATGTGCAAAGACTCTACTAGGCACAGCTATGATCTGCTGGTTGTCCATCATGCAGTTGTGTACATGTTTAAATAGTTAATTAGATTGGATTATTTCTTTTTTCACAGACATGGACAACTGCTTTCAGTGTCCACAAGATCATTACCCCAATGAGGAACAAAATTTATGCATTCTAAAATATGTAACATTTTTGTCCTATGAAGAAACTTTGGGGATCACCTTCACCAGTTTGATTATTATTTTTTCTATCATTACTATTTTGCTGCTCTGGCTCTTCATTAAACACAATGACACCCCTATTGTGAAAGCCAACAATGAGAACCTCACCTACATTCTTCTCATCACCCTCCTGCTCTCGTTTCTCTGTGCTTTGCTATTTATTGGGCAGCCTCATCAATGGACATGCCTTCTTCGGCAAGTTACTTTTGGCATCATCTTCTCTGTGGCAGTTTCTAGCATTTTGGCCAAGACTATCATTGTAATTCTTGCTTTCATGGCTACCAAGCCAGGGTCCAGAATTAGAAAATGGATGGGGAAGAGACTGGGTCTTTCTATTGTCCTTTCTTGCTCTTTTATTCAAACCATTATTTGTACTGTATGGCTATCAACCTCTCCCCCATTTGTAGATGTTGACATGTATTCCATGCCAAAGGAAATTGTCTTGATGTGTAATGAAGGGTCAACTGTCATGTTCTACTGTGTCCTTGGTTTTATGGGTTTCCTGGCAACAATTAGTTTCATAGTGGCTTTCCTGGTCCGGAAGTTACCTGACGCCTTTAATGAAGCCAAATTTATTACCTTTAGCATGTTGATATTTTGCAGCATCTGGCTATCATTTGTTCCAACATACTTGAGTACAAAGGGGAAATATATGGTGGCTGTTGAAATCTTCTCCATTTTGTGCTCCAGCGGGGGGTTACTGGCTTTTATCATTTCCCCAAAATGTTACATTATTCTGTTGAGGCCTGATTTAAATAACAAGGAACAGCTAAGAAGAGGAAGAATTTAAGATTTAACATTAGGTGCAATTAAATAGATTTCCTTAAAGCTATTCCATTTTCAAGTAAACATCTTGTATTTTATATAGCTTGGTTTCTGTGTTCTCATTATATAATCATCTATTCTGCAACTGAAATTGAATAAAATTTGTTAATTACAAGAAAGACAATGTATGGTTTGATTCTTTTCAACCAGGTATCTGTAAAAAATTGATAGCTCTTATGTCATCAGTTGAGAAGCAGCAACACATAATTTTCAGCTTGCACCTATAATTGTCCACCTATAACTGTCCATATTGTATGGAAAATTTGAATAGTGTCCAAGTGGTGTAGGATTTCCTGCCTAAGCAGGGGATTGGACAAGAAGACCTCCAAGATGCCTTCCAACTCTTCTCTTCTCTTCTCTTCTCTTCTCTTCTCTTCTCTTCTCTTCTTCACTTCACTTCACTTCACTTCACTTCACTTCACTTCACTTCTCTTCTCTTCTCTTCTCTCTCTCTCTCTTCTCTTCTCTTCTCTTCTCTTCTTCTCTCTCTCTTCTTCTCTCTCTCTTCTCTTCTCTTCTCTCTTCCCTTCCCTTCCCTTCCCTTCCCTTCCCTTCCCTTCCCTTCCCTTCTCTTCTCTTCTCTAAAAATTGAATTGCAGTAATCCACTCAGAAAATGAATTAAGGCATGAATGACTATGAGCAGAGCCTCCCAGTCCAGGAATAGACAAAACACAAAGCATAAGTGCCACCTGCTCATCAAACAGGAGCCACAAATCCAGGTGGATCCCCAGATTGTGCACAGGATGTGTCTGGAGCCATTCAGAACAAGAGATGGAAGGTTCTGGAAGAGCCAGGGGACCAGAAACCCAAAGCCACTTGGTCTTATTAGAACTTTTGCTGAAGTCTGTTGTTTCCTCATCTAGAGCCTCACAAATTTCAAGACAGAAACTGGATGGTCCAGGGTAGGGATATATATATATTTGGGAACAAACAAAGGCAATGAATGATGATACATCATCCCAGACTGATCAACCTCCTGAGCAATTTCTTGTAGATGTTAAATAGGAGAACAGAGAACATTGAGCCTGTAGCACCTGTGAGCTGGGCCATTCCTCCCCTATAATATCAACAGGGACCAGCATATGTCCCTGTCCTTGTTGAAGCATGTTTTGGAAAGAAAATGTAACCATTACTTATTTACATTCAAAATTATTATACTTCTCATTTTGGTGAGCCTTAATATTACAACATTGAAATAGCATTAAACAATTTGTTTACAAAATAATATTAAAATTTAATATTAACACTCTGACAATCTCCAGATTTTCTATAAACTTAAAATATGCACACCAACATATCCAATGCAATTTTTAATCATATGCTTCCCACAATACACAGAGAACCCTACTTTGTAACTCAGAAAAATGGATACCGAAGAAATGCTACAGTGTTACATTTCTTTCTTAACTTCTTGCTCCTTTCTTGTTTTCTAGAATTTTTTGGGTTTTTTGGGTAATATTTCCACTGCAATTACTAATTTAATTAGTTTTATTTCAGTGTTATCTCTTAATTCCAAGAGAATTGTTGTACCCAATTAGATAGGAATAACTATCACCTTGTTCTTTGAAAAATAAAAATAAAAGGTGTCCAATGGACTTTGGGGAAATATCCAATGGACTTTTATATTCATGATTTTGTTTTATCTATAGAGTCTCAGTTAGGGATTCCTTTCCTACAATTATCCATTTAAACACGACAACTTCTGAATTCCCCAGAGATCTCAGACAAGGTGCAAGAACCGCAAACCCAGAAAAGCAATACAACCAAATAAAAAGTTATGAGGAAACACAAGGTGATATTCTAAACTGGGATTAGAATTCTGAATTTTGACATTTGAGTTTACATAGGGACCTATATTAGACTGAATTGATGAAATACAGTTCTGAGTGGGATGAATTGGCTTAAAGAAAGAACTGCTTCATTCAGGATTGTAGTATTTGAAGCATTAATTATAGTGCTTTTACCCCAAGTGATGTGCATGATTCCTAATACTAAATGCAGCATGAGTGAGCCTCTGCCTTTTCTTCACCAGCACTATGAACCTGGAGACTTCATTGCTGTTGGCATTTTGTCTAAGATCTATATATTCTATACAGTGATGGACTTCAGCGAAGCACCGTCTAGTAATCTCTTTGATGAAATCCTGTAATTTTATTTGAAACACAGAGACATTTGTTCATTTGTAATTTATTTCAGATAGTTTCCTCATAGGCAATAAATAATATTCTAAATAATGAGATATAAATATTATAATGTGTATTTATTGAGCTGTGATTTCCATCCCATTAACATTTTGTGGATCCAAGAAAAACTTTCAAAGGGGGGGGGATAATATAGGTAATATATTATATTTTATGGAATGCCAACAAATGTTCAATACATTTGGGCTAATTTTCATAGGGTTTTTAAAAAGACTGGCACCTTTATCAAGTATGTTATTCACATGTTTCCATATTTTTATTGTAATAATGGTAAGGATAAAATTAAAAACTAAAGAGATGAAATTAAAAAGTTTGAGTAAATTGTGTGTTCAGGGTAGTGAGCAGAAAAATGAAGATGCAAAATATTTTTAAAAATTGCAAAAACTCTTGCAGTTATGTCAGTGGTGGGTTTCTACCGGTTTGCCCTGGTTCAGGCAAACCGGTAGTGGTGGTGGCAGGAGACTCTGTCCACCCACCCGGACATCATCACGGATGTTCTACGCATGCACAGAAGGTTCTGCACATGCACAGAAGCGCCATGCACGCTCACACTTCCAAACCAGTAGTGAAGGTTAGTGGAACCCACTACTGAGCTATGTGCTTCAGCATAATTGATTTCAAGTATTTCAGACTCTGAAGTCATTTTTTCTTGAAAATTGTACTACAAAATAATATATTGGAGAGGGACAGAAATCATTCTTTTCACCAATATATTTATAATATATTTAGAGTAGTGGGCTTGTAAAAACTGGTGAGAAATATCCAACTGAAGTACATATTTTATTTACTTTAAAATGTGTTGTAATAAACTCTGTCATTGTTCAAGGCATAAATGTCATGCCTTGAACAGTGTGAAAGAATATATATTTTCCTTTCAGAGTGATGACACCAATCTATCAGCAATTCCTCGCTTTGCAATTTGCAGTCAAGGAGATCAATGAAAACCCTCACATTTTGCCCAATCACACCCTGGGCTTCCATATTTATAACAGTTATTTCACTGCCACATGGACTTATCGTGCCTCGTTAGAACTGTTCTCTACCAAGGAGAGATTCATCCCTAACTAAAGGTGTGATATGAAGAAACGACCAATAGCTGTCATCGGAGGACCAACATCTGCAGTTGGAGCCCACATGAGCACCATCCTGTCCCTATACAAGATGCCACAGGTACAATGGCTACATGGAAAACAGGCGCTTTTGAAGTGTCTTATGTCTTTCTTCCAGTAGTGGGTGCTTCTCATGGGATGAAGGTAGGGTGAGAGGTTTAGGGAGTAAATGGAGCCATTGTATCTTGCAAAGTCTTTAGCTGTTTATTTTGCTTGACTTAATTAGTTACATATTATTTATTTGGTTTGTTGATATGCAACCATTTTTTTAAGGTTAGAGCTGCTTTGGCTTCTGATAGTCTGTCTTAATTGATATTCCTTTATTTTCACCTCTGCGTAAATTTCAGTGGTTGCTCTTTAAAAAAGGAAGGAAAAGGAAAGGAAAACTTCATATGCTTTGTAAATTGAATTGTAGGGAAAGAAACCAGATAAAATTCAGAGGGTATTCATTATACCCACTGGACAGTCTATTGTCTTAGGCAGTGGTGGGATTCAACATTTTTTTACTACTGGTTCTGTGGGCATGGCAGGGGAAGGATATGTAAAATCTCCATTCCCACCCCATTCCAGGGAAAGGATACTGTAAAATCTCCATTCCCACCCCACTCCAGGGGAAGCATACTGCAAATTCCCCATTTCTTCCCAATCAGTTGGGACTCAGGAGGCAGAGAATAGATGGGGGTGGGGCCAGTCAGAAATAGTATTTACCAGTTCTCCGAACTACTCAAAATTTCTGCTACTGGTTCTCCAGAACCAGTAGGTGCTGAATACCACCTCTGGTCTTAGACCATAAACATGTTAGTGAATATACTAGACCAGAACAAGCTATGAACAGTTTGTTATTTCTGAAGGTAATTTTATTTTTCAGCATATATCACATTTGATACTATAGGGTGCACTGTAAGTTCTGCTTTATTAATAAAATACAGATATAGCTGTTCTATGAAATGCAAGGAAAGATTAGCATTTGATAAGAGCCTTGGTGGCACAATGGTTAGGGTGCAGTATTGCAGGCTACTTCTGCTGACTGACGGCTGCCTGCAATTC